ATTTCCCTTCAAAATTTTGCTTACTTTTCTCCCTAATTTTCTTCTTTCCTTCTACAGTTATTTTCAGTGCTCACACAAGAAAATTAAGATTTTTCGATTGCTAGACTTCCATAAATTTTGCATTCTTGTCAATTTTTTAAAATATCAATTACATGAATTGCGTTTCAGCTGAAGACAGCTTTTCATTTTCTTGTCATTTTAACTATAAATAAAGTTTAAAGCGAAGTCCAAAGGATAAATATTTTAATTAAAAATTGTTGCTAAATGACAAAGAAATAAAACAGTCCAGCAGGGTTTATTCTGTACCACCGAGTGACCCAATTCTTATATCGGCTGAAACAATCTAAATCATATTAAAGATCATGTTTTTTTATACAATCTATAACGCGAAAGAAAAGTTAGCATTAAAACATTCTTTCTAAGAGAATTAATGTAAAAGATTATATTCATATATATATATATTTAAAGCTGGGACTTGAACCAAATTGTCAAACTTTTAAAGTTTAATTTACATGGTGGTTATAATTAAAGTTCCAATTTGAAATGGTCATAAAAGGAAAACTAGCGGACCAAATGTTATCAAACTTGGAAATCGAGTAAAGGAGGTTTCCGTGGGGGGGAAAAAAGAGTTTAAAAACTCACCACCAGGGAAAAATGGCGCTGTATACAATATTGTTAATGAAATAAGACATGAAAACATCTGTTTAAAATGTGTTTAATAGTTTCCGAAGCGTGTTACAAAGCATGTTCAATGTAGCGTCCAGCATTTTCCGAAAGCAAGTTAAATCCTGTTACTGCATTCTCAACAGCAGCTCTTAGCATATCAGGATGAATTTTACGGACATTTCGGTGTATCACATTTTTCATTTCTGCCAAATTGTTTAGATTATCACCATAAACAGTGCTTTTGAGGTAACCCCATAGCCAAAAGTCACAGAGGTTGAGGTTTGGTGGGAAGAGGGGAAGTGTCGGCCTATAAGACCTTCATTCGTGAAATATTGCCTAAGTAACTGTGCGACACACGTGAGGTGGGGCCCAGCCCTGAATAAAAACCGTAGTATCTAAAATGCCACGTTACTGCAGTTCATGTATCACGAAACATTTTGACTCTAATTGAGCTGCAATCACAGTGGTCTAGCTGTCGACTGCTCTTCAGAAAAAAAAAAAAAAAAAAAAGGTTCAGTTATTAAACTAGTTGTCATTCAACACTAAACGGTGTGGAATGACTGCTATGCAGTCGAATGCAGTAGAAGAATGCAATGGAACTAGATAGATAACATGAGGGATTTCTTTGGCCCAAATCGATTAAAAGCTTTTTGAATCAGTATCTTCATGTTTTAGGGCCGAACTCAGGCTTCAAAAATTACAAATTAGCGATCTGTAAGAAAACAATTTCCAGATTGTACGCATTTGTGCGAGTGATTTGCGATCTCACATTTTCTAATCGCTAATTCGTGGTTTTCACGGACGAATTTCTCACTTACACGGATGGCGCACTTGACTTTTATCGAATTTAACGCCTTTAAATGGTAATTTGCTTACATCAAAGTTTCTTAAGGGTATACAACATATTAAACCCGTGAAACAAAAGGTTAAGTTAGATTCCAACCCATATTTCGTTTAACAGTATTGCATACAGCGCCATTTCCCCCCTGGTGGTGAGGTTTCGAACTTTCTTTTTTTCGCGGAAAATAAGTTCCCATGACCTCTTTTGCACGGTTACCAAGTTTGATATCCAGTGGTTTTCTTTTTATGACCGTTTTAAAGTGGAACTTTAATTATAACCACCCTGTATATTATTAAATTTTAACTTGAAGCTATGCATTATATGTATATCATGCATAAGATTTTCGCCTTTATGGAAAAAGTAAAGAATCGAAGCAAATATACTTAGGATAATGGACCAAAATTGAAAAATTTCCCCTCTCTACAAAAAGAAAATATTTAAACTTTGAAATTGAATTTATTGGATTATCTGAAATATACAATTTGACTTATCTTAAGTCGTAGTTCTGACAACAATTCCGTCAAAAATTCCAAATTACTGAAGCTGAAGTAAAAGTTTTAGTATATATTCACTGTATGTTAATAAAGTAATCAGAGTGTAATAAAAATAGGTTATAGAATTTACACTGACACAACTTTTTATCGACTGCGCAACATGTAATGGAAGAGAAGGCTTGTAGAGATATGTTTTTGACATGCCTCTAAATGTAGATGTCATACTCCTTTTGTCTCTTCAATGTCAAAAAAATTTCCGTTGAGAGGCAACTTTAGTTTTTGGTTAAGAAAAACAATCACAAGAAGACAAATTTGAAGAACATGCAGAACGATTGAGTACACATACTTATTTTCGCTTGTTTTTCGGAACACAAGCGGTTCTCCGACTGGTTATTGAATAATGAAAACATTCATTGTCATGCAATACAAAACATTTGGAATAAGTTTTCTGACTGAAAACGTAAGATTAAAAGTCATCTGCTTAATTCACAGCCATTTACATGTCAACTGCTCGGGCAATTGCAATTGCAGAATCGTTTTGATCCTGAGCTTGTAAGACAAACCTTATATCACTGGATTTAAACACTTCTTTAATCTTCCGGGAACATTCCTTCTTTAGCTCATATTTCAAGAATATTAAGTGAATACAATTATTGCAAAAGAAATTGAATATTCATTTGCACTACGGCTTGGTAGTTTACTAACGAGTTAACAAAACTTAAATTCTGCTTTTTGTGTCTAAGACTACAACAATATTTTAAATATTTACAAATAAAATATTAAATTGGAGATTTAATTGGAGCCTCACCAGTTGCCTAGCATTTGAAGATTGTTAAATACTAATTGTTTGTTGCGAAGTCTAACCCAGGCTGCATGGTTGGTTTTCGTAGTTTTCTAGGTTCTCTATGAAAGCATCTTAATCAAATAGCTCCCATGTTCAAATAACCAACTAACCTAGTTTAAGCGCGATTTCCAAGTGAAGTTACTAGCAAAACCCGAATACTCATTAAAAATCATGTAGCTTGCCAATCGGGAGTAACATGAAATATACGGTGCCAATAATTGAATTGCTGTTATGGTACGCTGTTTTTAAACTTAGATGCTCATTCCTTAATTAAATAGCCCACCAGCAGCCGAGCGGTAAAGATGCTGAACACTGGTAGTTCGGTCGGAGGTTCGAATCCCGAGAACGAGCTGGCTGCATGAGCGTTTTCGTGGTTTTCCCCATGTGTAACGTGTATACGAGCCAGTTTCCCTTAGAAAGTACTCCACGAAGGCATCCCTCCCTATAGGCAGATAACCCTCGTGTGCTTTTCCATAATTAAATAATCCAATCAAATCCTTAATTAAATATAATTGATTTGTAACTTCTACTGGAACTGACGGTAAGAATTGAAGTGTAAATAAATAATATCGTGTGCAATCTTGATTAATATAAAATTAAAAATATTTGCATAGAAAAATATTTTCATTCAAAGTTTTTTTGAAATATTTGCAATTACTTTATAAGAAGGATTTATTAATAACCGTAATAATTACTTATTATATTACTGATGAATACTATTCAGTTCTTGACAATTACATTCTAAAGTAGAATTTTAAGGATATAATGAAAATACGCTACGCACAAAAATACATTTTAGGTTTGATAAACAAAAAATGAGTTGATTTTTTATGTTTTAAAACTTCTTAAATTCATTTAATAAGCATCATATCCTCGTTGTTAATTGAATCCAGAATGTTGGGTGTCATTTATATAATTATTCTTACTTGTCTCCAGAACCTGCTGACTTATCCAGCCATTAAGTAGTTGCAGATCATTTCTACATAACCATTGAACTTCCATTAATTCACTCTCTAGAGGGTTGTATGTTTATATCATAATTTGACTTTTATAAAAATGATTAATCTAAATCTTATGTTTCTATAAAAATATACTGTGCTTTAAAAATATGGATGATTATATCAGCTGCTCTTTCAGCCACTTCATAAGCAACAGTTTGTTTAGAAATAAATTATGCAGTTAATGCCATAAAATATTTTCATAAAATTCAAATAAACATCAAACGAAAATTCTCAGTTTTAGACAATTCGATTTAAACAAAGTAGCAGACAATAAAACGCCGAAGGTTAAAAATTTACTCTTATTTTTTTTTTTAAAAAAAGGAAAGAAATTTTAAAAAAAAAAAAAATAGTTAAAAATTTGAATAATATCATCTATAAAAAAAATAGCTTTTCATATAGTATTAATAAATATTTATTACGTATCATTGAGGGAAAATATTTCATATAATTAATTCTCTGTAAAATTTTACTTGAAATTTAAGGTTAAAAATAGCTGTGGCAATTCACTGTAACAAAAATCCATAGACCACATTTGGCGTTATTATCGCTCAAAAAAAAGATGCCAAATTTCAAAACGCGAAAATATGTAAATTCGTGTATATCTTAGAAAATTTTAAATAAAAATGTCTAATTTTTTTGCAGATATGCTTAAAAATACACCTACTTTAAGATGATGGTAAAACTTTTATAGGCTATAATTCAAAATTTTTTTTGAAAAATTTATAAAAATTATTTTAAAATAGAAATTTATTAAATAAAATACAAAAAATGGGTAAATTTTATTTGGAATGAACCTAAATTTCGAAATGTGAAAGGAAAAATAATAAAAGTTTAATAAAAAGAGATATTAATAAATATTTACCAAATTCAATTAACATTGAGGAGCTAAAATTTTAAGAGCTAATATTTTAAAAACTACTTGTACGATTTTTACAAAACTTGGTATTCTGGCATAATTTAAGTCGTAGAATCGATATATTGAAAAATATTGATATGCTATTTCAGAAAATGTCGATTTTGTGTCAAAATACCTATGTTAGAATAGTGCTATATATAAATCTAATATATATCCTAAGTCGCGCTTTCAAGATATGAAAAACGCAGTTTGAATTTTGTCAATCGGCCCAGTAGAACGGGAGATATAGCACTGTCCCTTTTTTTTTTTTTTTTAGCAGTGTACATAGTTTCAGTACTGTGTTACAGCATGCTCGAACATTTTAACTTTAAAATGTTAAAGGTTACAGACTTCCCAAATGAAAAATATTAAAATTTTGTTTTGGCTGAGAATAAATTTGTTTTTTTTTTCCTCCTCCCCCCCCTCGCCGGGAAAATTGCTTTGAAGCATGGATATCTTTTGCTAGCAGTAAATGTACATGACGCTTATTAAAATATGTAACGTAAACTCTCATTCACCTCCATAAGGACATACCATCTTGTTGTCTTAGTCTGTAAATTCATAGTTAAGCCTTAATGGTATTCACACTATGATTTATCTGTGGTGATGTAATAAAAAATAATTAATCTCTTCTCTAAGCTGGCACTCTTGAGAGCAGACAGAATATCAACTTTCAGTTCATTTAAGTTTCATTCCAAGATTTGAAAAGAAGGGACATTTAATTTGTTTACTAAAAAGGACTCTAATGGCTTATTTCCTTAACGCTAAATCAGCCGAAAAGATTTCCCCCAAAAAAGGTGTATAATTTTCTGAAAACAAATTTTGCATGGTCAATGGGATGGGTAGTAAAAGTAAAACTCTTTATACAGCCCACACTGAACCAAATTTCCAAATAATGAAATATTCATTAAAAGTTCATTTAATTGCAGAATTCAGAAAGTTATAATATTATGACTTGCTCAATTAGTTGATCATGGCACTAGCATAAAACACAGAATTGTTTTGTTTTGAAGGAACTCCTGCATTATTTCAGCCACTTCTGGCAAAGTAAAATACACATGTGAAAAAAAAAGTATATCCCAAGAATGGAACACCAGCTTGGTCGAAACCCAGATTTTTCTCAAAACACTGGAAACGTGTTCCTTTTTAGTAATGAGTTCTTTATCAAGAATGAGATAGTACAAGTACACCTAAGGCTTTACTTCCCATGCACTGGCATATTTTTTCATACCCTTATTTACCCCACTAGCAGTAATATCAAATCCTCTCCCTCCCTCCCCAAACCAGAAGAAAGGATAGCAGTTGTTATTGGACATATACTCAAAAGAGAATTGACAACAGGCAAGTTGCCGTGGCTTTGGTGGTTAACGATTTTGGTTTCAAGAATTTAAAATACAGAAGTAATGTTTCAATGAGAAACTGCACTTAATTTTATAAATTTTTATTTAAACTTTTTAAATAGTAATACTAATCCATTGTCATACTCCTTTAATTTCTTGCACAAAGTTGCATTGTAATTTGTGATAGGTATTGTGCAGATTTTCAGTAAATGTACAAAAAATTATCCGATGTAAAAACATCTTGTGGGCTGCCTAAGTTTGGGACCCTTGCAAATGCAGGTGTTGCAGAACATCTAAATTGGTCCTAGTTGGATTAACAGGATTTTGATTTGAAACTCAAGCTTAAATATTCCTGCTGAAAGAAAAGATTTCTAATACAAGTAAAATGTATAATTTATTTGATTGATCACTTTTAAATGCAAACTTAAACAATGTCTTGAACTGAAGAAATGCACATACTAAGAATTCCTTTATTTCATAGTATTTAAATTCAGGAAATACTTTCACAAAATAATTGCACTTTCAGTTCTAATCTAATGCAAGTTTGATGTAAAATATGGCAGTATCATTCAGTCACTTAGATTTCTTATGAATTACATCTTCAGATTGTTAATAGATAATTAATTCTAATGCTATGTGCATATTTATATTATAGGTGCATATGATATCACTGGCTTTTTTAATTAATGTATGATGCACACACTATTCATATCTCTTCATTAATCGACTTCAGAAGTATCAATGTTTGTGAAAATGTATTTTTGATTAAAGAGATTCTGTATTTAAAACTGTATAAAATTACGTAAAAGTCATTAAATTTTTGGTGGATTTGCGTTTTACGTTTTATCACTATGGAAGCAGCTGTTGAAATGAAGGATGGAAAGGTAAGACTGTTTTTACATACATTATTTTTTGCAAATTTTTTCACTTTGCTTAGTAATTTGATGGAGTGCTGTGACTTTTTGGGAGTTGCTTTCTGTTTAAAGGGAAATTATTTTAGGCAGTTCTTTGGTATCCAGTTTATTGAACATTTCCATGATGTCTTAAAACTAGTCCCCATGTTTTGATTTATGATTATCACTGTTGATCATGCTCTTTTAGCCTGGGACTGTATTGTTTTGAAATTTTTAATTGCAGTAGCATTAATGAATTGATCTGTTTTGAGGCATCTTTTAGAAGATATTTTTCATATTTGCATCAAGAAGAATATGCCAATGTAATTACTAGCAGTTGTTAAATTTCATAATTCTGAAGTTGTTCTTTCTGTGCCGAATAATAGAACTAAAGGAATTTGTTTTGAATATCCATTCTCATTCTAAATCATGTTCATGCTGTTTCATTACTTGATAAAATAAAATTTATTTAGATAAGTAAAGCTGAAGAGGTTTACATTTATTGTCATGGTTATGTAGTTAATATACTAATAATTTAATTATTGTGAAGGAATTCATTTTCATAAATTAAACCATAAGTTGGAAATATCTACATATATATATAACATATATTTGTTGTAATTATAGCTTTAACTTGTGCCTTTGGTTATGTTGGTTCAATAAATACTTACAATTAATTGTATAAAGTGTATTTCAGATTCAAAAATTACAAATAGATGGGACATAGTTTTTTATTTATTTTGATTATTTAGATTATTACTGCATATACTTCATGTTGTAGTGGCAGAAAGACATTAAAATTATCTGTTTTTATAACTTCATACTTATAATCTGTGTTCATGCTAAAATAATTTAATGTCTATTTCAAGTATACATAACTCCTTGTTTTCTTTTATTTCCTAAAATTTAATCAAATTTATAAACTACTTGGAAACATCCAGAAATATTAGATACTTAAATTTCTATTAATTTATTTTTAGAAAATTTTATAATTTTCATCTTTTGCAGAGAAAAAGTATATTTACAACATGTAATTTCATGATGTTTGCATGATTTTTCCATTGACCTTTCTTTCACATTGTTTTTTACTAAAAGTATGGGATACAAATTTTGGCCATTAAACAGATATTTCTGTATTTATTACTGTTTTGCATAAAATGTGAAATTAAAAACTGTGAATAAAAACAAATGTGCCTTTAAATTTTTACGATATAGACTTCCTAGTGGTATTGCCCTCAAAAAGTGTATGTCGTTCATCTTGACAGGCATAAACTTGTTAGATTGGAAGAATTATTATCTTTGAGCAAAAGCAGAATTAGATTCTAATACTTGAATGTTCTTTACATTATTAGAAACATCAGATGTCTTAGCAGCATAATACTGACATTTCTTTGTTTGTATCAGAACTCAACCTTTTTGGGGATCATGAGCTACTTGTATTTCTGTAGCTTTCATCATGATCATTTTGTATGCGAGTAAAATATAAAACAATATATTCATAGAACTGATAACTTACAACTGACCCGGAAATGTACTGCAGTTCACAGAGTGGACAATCCCAGTCTATATCATTAAGTATACATCCTCAGAATAAATTGTTGAAAGCATCCAATCATATCAAGATACAAACAAATACACATTGCCCAATACTAAAATTTTATAAATAATTGAAGAACAGAAATTTATTTTATTGATAGGATTTATTAAATAAAAGGGCTATATATATCATATTAAAGAACTGAACGTACTGGAACATATTACTGTTTAAAAAAATTATCAACTTGTTATTGATCTAATGTTTTTGGTTAAACTTTTAACTGTATATTTAGGCAAGCATCATTATTCTTAATTAATTCCTTACACCATAAGTTGTACTGAATTAGTTTAACTGTCCTTTTCACAATTTTTCCATTAAAAAATAATGACTGCATTTTCTCTCATATGGTTGAATGAAATTTGACTAAGGATAAAGGAGAGTAAATCTTATACAATCTTTCAAAAAATAAAAACTTTCTAATAAGGTTCTTTAGAGAATTTCAAAGGATTAACAAAGCTTATCTATCTTTGTTTCTTCTAATGTCTGCGGTTTGCTATCAGATGTCAAGTGCAGGCTTTCATGCAAGTTACCTCTTCTTTAGTTTCCTCTAATTTTAAAAGAACTCCTTGAAAATGTTAATTGCATATTGTTAGAAAGTCTTATTTTTTAAATATGTGATAAGCTATGAGTAGAAATATATTAGATGACAAGTCTAATGCAGCATGAGCTTTATGGTAATTTTCATCTTCTGGTGATTTATAAGTGTAAAGTTAATATTTTTGCATGATATACTCGGTAATGGTGGTTTAAGCTCATTTCGGGCCCTGGGCGCAGAAGATCTATGGGCCCCCTTGGCACTGGTAGATCCAAGGGAATCTTGGATCTGCTAACAAATGAAACAAAATTTCAATGTTTAATTTTTATTGTAAAAAAATATATATATAAATAAAAACAAAACAGTATTCTTATTAAAAAATATTTAAAATAAAAACACTCTAAAATAGGTGTGGATTGTTTTCGCAAAATCATCTACTATTTTTCTAAAGACTTTTTATCTTCAACTATCGAAATTTATAACCAGAAATTCTGGATGGTTCCAGCTTATCTGGGCCTTTGGATTCCCATGCCAAGTGCCCAATGAATAAACCTGATACTCGGTACTCACACACTTGTTAGTACAGAGTTGTAAACAAAAATATATGAAATTTGCCAACAGGTGGCAGTGGTAATGAACATTCCCCCTCACCCCATTAAATATTGCTACAAACTTTTAAGTATAGTAGTTTATTTATATAAACTCTCTCCATATAAGACAGTTATATATAATTTATTCCAAATAAAAGTATTCTTACTAACTACACCAGTTGTATTAAATAGGTTGTAATATATATGCATGATGAGAAGTGGCAAGAGCCAAATCTGTAATTTAGTCATACTAATATTTTAAGTTTTTTTAAAGGGAAAAAAAAGTTTTTGGCTATTTATTTGCATGTTTCTGTGTTTCAGAAGTTTTAAAATTGTTAAATTTGTTATCACATATTGATATTTAAAACATATGTTAATGTATATATAATATCTAATGATCTTTTTCTTCCTCCAGGGCATTTTCATCTTCAGCTTGATAACATACAAGCCAGTAACATACAACAAAGATTATGAATACCCAGGCTGGGCTATTTTCATTGGTTGGTGCATGGCCCTTTCATCTATGTTATGTGTGCCAGTTTGTTTCTTGTATCAGATTTTTATAACACCTGGCACATTAAAACAGGTAAGATTTTAAATTACATCGCACATCTACTTTCAATTTGTGCATTATATCATTAAACTGTGTCATGTATCTTCCTCTCCCCCCTGCTAAAATTTCATATGCAACCTGCTTTGTAAAAAAATTTAGAAATTTTAATGTCTAGTTTGGCGGTACAATGACTATCTATAAATAATGATGGAATTCTTTATTAATATATTCTATTTATACATGCTATAAACGTTTACCTGGTGGAAAGGGGAAAATGGAGCAGTTAGTACACTTTTCAATTTGAAGATTTGTGTTCATAGCAGCATGGTCTTTTAACCCCTTCGCGCCGGGTAGTGCAAACGCGCGCTTATCGCAGAGGCCGGCAATGTCTTACGCGAGCATCTGTCCAGGGCCGGAGGCTTTTTTGCTATAAAGCCATGAAATTTCCGAAGTATCAACGCATTGTTTAATAATGCTCTATAGAGTACTTAAACAGATTATGCTTTATAGATATTTTTATATATACTTTAATTACCTTATTTCTTGTTTAAATGCATATTTTACACATTTTATTTTCATTACTCACCATTTTATGACTTTTAACATTATACATCTGAAAACAAAATATATTACTTAAAATTCTCTTTTCGTATGAAAAAATTTGAAAACAGGGATCTACACACAGTCCTATGTTACATTCCTTGCACTCGTAATAACTCGTTTGCCGTTTTGGAGGATTTTTCCGGGAATGTGAGCAAACGAAGCATCGTCGTCTCATTTTCTTATCAGTCTCTTCTGAACAAAGTTTTGGAAAATGTCTTTCAGTTAATCTTTCAGAATCAATGTCAGAATATCAGAATTTCAGAATCAATATCTGAAATATTTTGCATCATTTCTGCTATTTCATGCTCTGTGAAACATTTTCGACGCTTCGACATTGCAACGGTAAAAACAGAAAGAATTCATGTCTAACAAGATCTAATTATTTTCTAAAAACTGAACTGCAAACCAAAATACCCAACGCTCCCGTTTGTTTATATAATCAAAAAACATGTGTATGTGAGTCATGCTTCTCACATTTCGAGTAGAAGGTCTAATGTACATGTATCTGAAGCCATATGGACATACAGTGCCATCTTGTGGCAGAAATTATAGTTTTTAAAACGTTTTCAGGACAGTTGGGGCTGAATAGGAAATTGCTCTGGCACGCCTACGCGTCGGCCGGGAAGTGAGTGTGTTCGTTGCTGGCACGTAGACGTGACAGTCGGCACAAAGGGGTTAACAGCGTCATTTAGACAAATTGCACCCCCTCATTATATTCTTTGCTCTTTATAAAGTACAAAATGTAAGAACTACCAGAATGAACAGTAAGATTTCTGCCTTTCAAATTTAATCATTATATAATCATACTGCAAAGTGAGTTATGTAAAAGTAATAAATGCACAAAGCCAGGGATGGACAAACGAAGTCTTGGGTCAAAAATCGAAAGAAAAAAAGTTTGGCGAGCCAAGATAAATTTTTAAACACAATATACAAGTATTACAAATTAAATATGTTAATGAGATGAAAGAAACTGCGATTTCATTTTTAAAAGTTCCTTATATTGAGGTTCGAAGTGAGATGTACTGATTCTAAGAAACGAGGCTAAATGCTCATCTCTCAGTCTACTTCTGAAATAATTCTTTCTAAGGTTTTTAGTTGAAAACACTTGTTCACATATACAAGATGAAGCAAACATAGCACTGATTTTCTGGGCGTGAGATATTAAATTTGGGAAATTTACTTTCGATAATGATTTGTAAACTCAAACTTTGGCATATTTAGAAACAACTGCTTGAGATGATTGTTAGATTGCAACTCAATTAATTCAAGCTGAAAATATGACCTCACTGCTTCACAATTTACGTTGAAAGGCATGGTAGTTTTAAGGTCTCCAATTCTGTTTGAATGGCACTGAAATCTTGAAGTCCGCGTTCGAACTCAAAATGCAGTTTTTTCAAGCCATCTTCATTATGCTTAAGCTTCTCTTCATTTACTGAGGATATAATTAAGATAATTAAGTTTTTTCTAAGAGGTCTAATTTACCTATATTGGATTCCCATATGTCTGCTTGAGAAAGAGATAATGCTTGTTGACTCCAGTCTACAGCTATAACTAACAAAGAACTTCCGCTTTTAACAGTTGCTGTCTGTTTTTGCTATATCCGTCGATTTATGTTTTGTAGAACAAAAGAGAAAGTAAAAAGATCACCAGTCTTTTTTTAAAAAAAGGGAAGGAAAAAATGATATTTAAAGTAGAAAAGGATATATATATATATATAATATATACTTCTTTTAATTTGCTTCGGACCACCAAATTAAAATTCTATCCGTGAGCCGTACTTTGCCCATCCCTGCACAATTTTTTTTTATAATGTTAAATTTTATAAAATTTTATTTTTTATAATGTACCTTATAGTTTTGAAATATATGCAATTTATGTTGTGTGCAACTGATAATTTTAATAAACATTTGCAGCATTATATCAATTAATAAAAGATATTTCTAATACTATTATATTATGTGTTTGGTTTACAATGCAATGATGCTTATTTTCCCTCTTTAAATAAATTTGCATAAGGATTATTAATCTTCAATTCTGTGCAATTTTTTTCTAATAATTTTAGTATCTAGATTGTATTTATTCAATATTTTTAGCTAAATTTACTTATTACAGCGTTGGAAGATTTTAACTACACCTCGTCTACCAATGGCTCTACCAGTGCATGCTACAGATCCAGATGATTGTCCTAAAGATGGCAAAATGAAGACCAATAATCACTATGAGCAGTCAAAGTTATAGGTTTTTCAGGCCTAAGCTTTAAAATTTTAGGTGACTGTCAGTTTCACGTTTCAGTTAGGGTGGTTATACACAGACAGCTAGCTGTAACAAGATATAGATATAAGCACTTGTAGGCCACTGCATGTCCTCACTTGATTCAGTGGCTGTAAGATGTTACAGAACTTTCCATTATACCATTAATTTTTAGCTAGCTGTTATCCTTTTTTTCACATGAACAAACACTTTACATATACATATTACCTATTTTCTAAGAATGTAGGATTATTTGAAGATTGCATTTAATTTTTCATTTTTAATAGTAAGAAGAGTTAAAAACATTTCATTTGCTCTTGTAGAGTTTTTGGAGGTAATACATTATTTAATATTGTAAAATCCTCTGCAGTTCATTTAAAAACAATCATAAAAATTTTTAAGGCATTATGTAAATTTTATAACATTTGGCATTTATAAATCGTTGAACAGTCGTTGACAGTTACAATTTTTAATACCGGTGATCTCTAGCCTTTAGGAAAGAGTCAAGTATAAAAATTTTATCCCTGTAAATTTAAAATTTTAAATTTATGGAGTGTAATATTTCTTTCTGCATAATGATGAACAGTTTTCTAGCAAAAAACAACTTATTTTATAATTTTTAAATTCCCCAAATTATAAAATTTTAACTATTTTATGCGGTTTTCTAATAATGTACACTGTATTATATTCAGAAAATCAATAAAATGTTCCAGAAGTTGGTTGACAACTCACAAAGCAGTTTTTTTAACAAAACATTACTAATATTTTAAACTTTTTATTTAGGTAAAAGTACCTGTACTTTGTGGTGGAAGAATGTACTTTAAGAAAGGTTAAGAGATATTTTATCATATTTTAAAGTTTAGAAATAGTAAACATATTCTACTAAAATAAAAAACTGTGACTAGTCATGGCTTTATTCCAAATGTTTATGGATTGTGTTGTCTTAATTGTACAAACCATTTTCTCAGATCTGAATTAGTATCAGGTGCAATGAAATGTATATTTGCAAGTTTATGTTGGGAATAGTTAGGTATATGTTGATTGATGCATTATTTATCATACCATATTTTCACGTGTTTTCTTCTTAGTTTTTTTATGGATGTATTTATAAATGTATGATATAAAGTTCCCTGTCAGTCATATATAAGATAAGTATCATTATGCAAACAGAAAAAAGCTGGGTAGTATTATTTATACAGCTATTTGAATCTGATTTAAAAGACTTGGAAAATTGTTTTGTTTTATGTGAAATGTGAGAAATTATTTGAGGTATTTTGTAAATATTTCAAATAAATTTCTGTTTCTTGTAATATGAAAAATTTTGTTTTAATTAAATTTCTAATTTTGTTGGGTGCCATTTTTGTCTTTTTTCTCTTCCTGATATCCAAGAATGGTATTCATTAAAAGCTGAGGGGAAAAAAAAAGATAGGTACATCATTTTCAAAGCTTGTTTTTTCACATATGGCAATCTCAAACAAAAAAATACTAGTAAGCTCCTGATTTGCTAATAAATCAAATAAGCAAATGTGTTAAACTCACCGTCATATGAATAGCATAAGGAATAAGAATGGGAAGAAGTTGTATGTACAATTTTTAGACTTGGCAATAAGATTAAATAAAAGTGAATAATAAATTAAAAAAATATTTAATGAAGGTAGAAATAAATTTAATGAAGGTAGATCAATTTTTTTTTGGTTTTCTTTTTACAAGATAACTCAAACTTTACATAACAATGAGCAGTCACTGCTCATGCTGTATATTTATTTTAAAACATAATAATAAATTGCAATACAATCAGTGCTAAACAATGAAAACTCCCTTTTCCTGCAAGAGAAAAAAAGCATTTCCATATTTTCATGTTGCATGAGGAAAATAATCCTTTTGACTTTGATCAACTGAGTATACCCACGACACATGCATTTTTTTTCTTATGCAGAATACTAAACATTTTTATATATCAAAATTTACATAAAATCTGCAAATTTTTGTATCTGATGTTAAATTGTATTGATTAAAATTATGTAATATTTCATAACATCATATAAATATTAGCTATGTAGTTGGACAAACTTTCATACTTTTCTTAAAGAAATGTTTTCACAATCTAATCATAAGCATTTTCAAAAGAAATGTCAAGGGCTCTTTTCTTTAAATATTAAAATTGCAAATTTAAATACAACTTTTCAGAATTCAATAAATATTGTTTTGAGCTAAAATGGTGTATATTATTTTATTTGTAATTATGAATAAATCACCACTATACTGGTTTCTTCAATTAAATTTGCTTCAAAACTTGCTGTTTTTAAAATTACTTAACATGTCACAGTTTAACTTTTTTAAGGTGGCTAATATTATCAAAAAATCTCATTTAATTCCCTATATAGTCTACATATTAAAAACAAAGGGAAAATTATTTTGGGTTGCACATTAAAAAAATATTTCTTAAAATATTTATATATTTTCTTAGTTAAATTAAAAAATATTATGGTTTCTATAAATTCATTTATAATGTTCAAAAAGTGATTTTTAATAATCACAATTATGTAAAATAATTTCCTTTCAAGAATTTCATAAAAAATATGTTGTGTGTTTTCCATCTACCTTTTTAGACTACACCCACACAGTGGCATATGTATAGTCGGTCAAGATTAGGCAATGCTTAAGGGGCCATTACTTTTTTATTTTTGAACTAGCAGCTATGCAGCCAGCCTTAGTCTGGCTTTTAAACGTACTGGAAAAATGCCTAAAAGACATACCTGGGACCGATGGCCACATAAGTTCTTCCAACTTTTTTCTCTTTAAGATTCCAACCCTCCCTTGAATACGGCTCTGATGTATCTCCAGAGAAATATATACATCTTGAATTTTTAGCAAACTGATTGTATGAGATGTGCATTAAACATTTGTTAAAGCACAATTTACATTCCCCTTCTTAACCACCACAACTACATAAAAAATGATATAAAAATTCTACAATAAAATTAATTTTTTAAAGTTTCTTACTCGATAGATTGAATGATTCTTTTTCTGAATACAATGAATACAAATATAAATTATCCTAATAAAAAAATTAACCAACTTTCCGTTGAAGAAAAAAAAAATCATGCAAATGTTTTCAATATCTTACAGTGAAATAAGCAAAAAATAACATGAATCTCAAAAAACATAAAATACCACTCAGAATTTTACTCTGCAGAACAACTTATATAAAAAAAAATAAATAAATAAATAATAAATAAAAAAAAAAAAATGTATTATGTATATAAAAATGAACAATGAAATATGCCAATCTCTTAAAACCAGTGACATAAGAAATGTGATGAAAAATTGTTGCCAGACCCATATTTCTAAAAGAATGAAACTATTCAAAATGATGCGATTTCGTCAAAAATCTATCAACACCAATAAGAAAGGTACAACAAACATCAACAGAACGAATCAGTACCAACAAAAATACGAGGAAAATTGTTGCCAAAATCACATTTTTAATGATGTGAGAAGTGTACTCGGAAGCTTCATTTAAAATTTCTTTTTTAAATACAAAATATTATCATTTTTCCAAAATTCTTTTTGTAAAAGCAGTCGCAAGGATGAAAGTTTAACGTGTCCAAAAATCAAAGAAAAATAAACTGTACTTTTTTAAAAATAAACTTTTATAGAAAATATCCCAGCGAAAAGGTGTTACGCTCCCTTTGTTAAATAAATTCATATTTAATCGATTTATTGACACGAAATTTATTTTAAGTTTGTAAAATAGCTAAGTGCCTACTTTCATGACGATGTGATAATCGAGTGTGTAAAGTAAAATCTCGCTTTCCTATAGCCCATTATGTCTCAAAATGACGCAATTTCGTCACGAAACATAAAATAAAAAAAATTCGAATTTCGAAAAAATTGCTTTGAGGTGCACTGGCTCTTGTCTAGATGCACCTATGTACCAAATTTCATAGCCAAGGCTCTATTTAGCTTACGCGCAGTGCAAACGAAGGTCACACACACACACACAGACAGACTCTTTCTGTTATTATATGTAGAGATATCTGAAAAATAACAAATTAATAAATTTATTGCTGAATCTTTGATATTTTATGTGTACAAATGCAATTTTAAAATTTTTAAATAAAATTATAAGAGTTTGTATTAATTTTGAATAATATAAAATTAGAAATTTAATTGAATGCCACTGCAACCTAGCTTGTCTGCTGTTAATTCCAGTGCTGAGTATTTACATCTGTTGGCCTGCTATCAAGCATAGCTATCAAATACACATGTGCAATCTAACCAAATTAGCCTTTTTGTATTTGTGTTTACTATTTTTTTTTTTTTTTTTTTAAATCTTAAGAAGAGGCCAAAGCATAGCAAAAATTTGCTATCACAAACCAGATAGGCTAGTTTTGGTTAAATTGCTCTATGCACATTTGATCAAAGGGGTAACCAGAATAGCTAAGTCCTGGCAGCTTTCAGTACTTCACGTGTGTTCTGCAAACAAAGAACTACTTTATTTGTTGTTGATTGGAAAATAAAATTTGAAGGTAAGAAATATTAAAATAGTTACAATAATTGATATATTTGAAATTAAGAATAAATAAAAGAGTGGGGATCGAAAAAAAAAATCCCAAAATTGGAGAGCTTTTTATTAAAACATTGTACAAAGAAAGATTTTTCAATAGATATGTCTGTCAGTATTAAAGAGCCTGATTACAATGTATTATCAGCTGAAGTTGTCTTTAGTTGACAATAAATGTTTAGAAGAAGTGCACATCAGTAGGTAGAAGTAAAAAATATTACTCGTGATATGAGATTTCTTATTGTGATGAAAATGAAGAAAAACCCTATGGCCCATTTTCAAAAGATAACTACATAAGGAAATAAGCATATTGTAAATCAATGAAAAAGTGTGGACAAGTGTCACGACATTGATCATATTACTCTAAATTATTGGATGCTGCATAGTGTAAACTTTGTTAGTTGTTTTCTGATTCTGATAGTAACTGGTGTTCAGATATTAACGAATGTAAAAGTTTAACAGTAAAAAATAAAACCTACTGCATGAAACATAGAAGAAAAATGTTGATTGTTGATAAAAACCTCAAAGAACAAATTTAATAACGAGACAAATTTTTGAAAAATGGTTACTTAATATTATACTTATGCTGTCAAAATAATGTAAGCTTTTCATGAGCATATTATTAAGTAAACATGGCAGTTTTATGAAACAAGTTTTTAAAATGCCAGTAGAAAGTGTGCGATATCTGAACTCTACCATAAAAATTAATTAAATGTGCAGATTATAATTTAGAAGAAATTTTCTTGAACCAGATAAATGCATCTCCCTCTTATTCTTCATTATTAGACATTGCTCAACATATTGAGCGTTATTTTAAGATATGTTCATATTGCAAGAGCTAAATCAGAACCTATAAATTTTTTAATCAAAGAAACATTTCTGGGATTTTATGCTGTAACAGGGTTCGTATGGTCCTTATTTTTTGAATCAATTTTTGGTCCTTAATTTTTGCCAAAATCAGTAGAAGGTCCTTAATTTTAATCATCTGAAATTTCTGTCTTTTTACGACTGTCATTTTGAGTGTAAATTAGCATTTTGGAGGAATACTTTTGGCGATTCACTGACGTATATGGTTATCTTTTGAATGGGTTCATGGGTTGTAATTTGTTTCTGTTTTCTAATATTTACTCAAGTTTCTAAGCAAGAAGTGAAATATAAGCATTTCGAAATTCATTTTTGGTAATAAAGAGTTCTTAAAAAATTTTTGCTTTTGGGAATGTGAATTCTTTTATTAGATTCTAAATTTGGCGACTTGTCAACATTTTGGCGATTTTAACGTCAGTTTCTATAGAAAATTTTTAATTCCGAAATCTGAAAATTTTTCAACAATTTTTTTTTTTTAAATCGTAACATTGTTAAATTTTATTAAAATAATGGTAATATATTGAAATTATATTTAAAAAATAACATTAAAATAAACCATTTTTATTTTTCGCTGTTATAAAGTTTCATTTTGGCAACTTATTATACAATATTTTAAATCTGAAAAATAAACAAGGTATAATACTATAAAGCACATTTTACAAAACAGCTCTTAGCAAAAGCAAAATTAGCTATGTAATTAATTAGTCTTTTTAATTTTTCATAGTGTTTTTCCCATGTAATTGTCTCAGAATATTCAAAATTCTCATAATATGCATCAGTTTCCTCTATAAAATTAATTTTACACTTTTTCTATCCCTTCTTTTTTTTTTTTTTTCGAAAATATTTATGGCTTTTTCTTTAGTATTTTTGACATTGCAGCTTGGAAAATTTAGAAGGATTTGAAGGCAAGATTTATAGACAGATGATTCGAGAAATATGTGACAAAATGAAAAATGTCTTCATGGTATCAATGTGTAATGGATGTATTTTACAGAAAGTTTGCGATGAATTTCTAACTTCTTGGAGAACGTCTGGAAGAACAATGAAGACATAATATTTGAATGTTTTACTCCTGATACTAGAATCGTTTTCTTAGCATGTTTATCTTCCCTACTTTTCACTAGACACAAGCATGGAAAATATCAAAAATGCTTCTAATCTTATCACTTTGGCAGGCATTATACAAAGGGTTTTATTTTTATTAATAAAGAAATTGAAAACTTACAATTTAAAAGGTTCATCTAATATGTTTTAATGCATCATACACAGAGCTGGCACTAGGCATTTTCCTATCTGATTCAATGTCTGTGGATCCTAAATTAAACTGCATACTACCTTCCCAAATTCTGCTTCCAATGCATGCTCTAAATTATAAAAATTTTGCCATTTCTAGATTTTGTTGTTTGGCGTGTCACTAAATTCTAAAAATTCTGCCACACCAGCTCTGTAACCAGCCTTTACCATATAATATTTCATATTTCTTTTGAATTTCATATTACTAAAGAAATTAGTCACTTTTTCTATACATTTTAAATGCATTTAGTGTTTTTTAGAATAAGAGAAATCCTTAATTAAATCCAAAAATTCTAAAATGAAAAGGAAACATGATGAAGAAAGAAAGTGAATATACATAAAGAAAATTATTCTTCAACGATATGTGCAGTTATTATGTAAATTCCCAATTTATGATTTCAACCTTTACTATAATTTTCCATTTTTGTTTCCTCATATGGTAGGGTTACTGAGCCAGATTAAATTGAATTGTATAATATCTGACCACTAGTCCACATTTCTAGTTCGAATTTGACTGTTCTTGCTTAATTACGTCACACCGTGATTGACTTTTGTTAGCATCAGAACATGCCTTTATGTTTACTCTTAAGTTCTTTTTAAATAAGAGGCTTATTTAAACCTTTGTCTGATATTGTAGTTACTCTCAGACATAGTGATAATTTGCTTCACATCTATCGGGGGTTTTGGACTATTTAACTTTTACCAGATCAAGTAAACCCTCATAGGTACATTGTGGAGTAGTTGACAAGTTAGGAGATAAAGCATGCAGACTCTAGTGAGAGCATTGGTTTGCATATCGAGGCAAATCTCTAATTATTATTAGAAAAGATGCTTAAAGAGAAGGAAATCGATATAAATTAGCCAAAATGTTTGAGAAGGCTTCAAGTTAGAAAGACTGATAAATATTTTGTAGAGTGTTGTTGTTACAAACATACATGTTTTGTAGCTTTTAATGTGTAATTATTCTAAAATTGTTTAAGAATCAGTATCATAAATTACACGTACTTTAAACTGTGAAATTTTATTAGATTTTGATTTTATTAGGGCTTTTTTTAACAAATATTGTTAAAAAAGTAAAATTTAATAGTGGCCATGTAAATCCATAATGACTAAGGTTACCTATTTACCTAATTTAATTATTTATATTTAACTGCTTGACCTTAACAATTATCTCCATATATTATAAAGTGAGGTATTGCCTTTCATTAATACTCACTGTGGTCACAAGATAAAACACAAAAAATGTAGAAATTCAAGTAAAACTTATTCTTCGCATCTAGTGAGACTTAAAATAATACAACTTATCACCTTTGGTGCTTGAATGGCTTATTGGAACCTGAAAGTATATTAACTGGGTTACAACCCGTGGAATTCTGCACAAAGCGATGACACTAACTGCATCAAACAGAGCCTGACTAACTTTCAACATTTGCTAACAGTGCCTACATCAGGCTTTTCAAGTTTGTTCTAATCAGCAGGTCTGTCTCTAGACAAGCAGCAGCAGTGATAATATTCAGTCTTTTGGGGTTATGAATCATGCTGATTATGATCTTAATTCTCATTTTAACCTATGCCGTTTGACATAAAATGTACCTGTTATTATTAAACCTCTAGACCAGCAGTTCAGGATGTTGGGATTTTAACTTTTGAAATAAATAGTTGAAAATACTTTGCTTTTTTGTGTACCACCTATTTTTTTCTTGCGTACCACCAGTGGCACACATACCACCCTCTGCTCTAGACTGATCAAGTATGTGACAAAATGAGACATGAAAAAAAATCAACATAAAGCTAACTATTAGTAAAACATAAATGTCACTTATCTTCTTTCAAATATGTCCAACCTATTATAAGTGTGAAATATTTAATGCTACTTGATAAACTGCATGATTTTATTCTCAAACTTATTAATAATTATGTCAATTAATTCATGTTTAGTAATAATGCATACTACTTAGGGATCTATTTTATTTTAGGATGGTATTACAAAAGTGAAATTCAGGCATAGAATAATATTTTTAATTGAATTTATTCAGTTCCCATTTGCTCATAGGTCCTTAATGTTTTCATTAATGGTCCTTAAAAATACTTAATTTCCGTGTGCAGAAATATTTACGAACCCTGTGTAAATGATTCCAACGGATTAAATTAAGATGTGTTATGGTTACACAAATATGATGGTGCTATAATTGCCTCCAGCAAAAGATAAAAACTATTTAGCCAAATGTAGAGTATGTACACAGCTCGTCATGCAACTTTAAACCTAGTCATTAATAATATCAAGTGGCTGTAGAAAAATTACATCATTTTTTGACATACTGTGATATATATTTATTCTGTGAAAAATGTAAAAACTACAAATTTTACTGCCTAATCATAACTGTCTAAAACCCAACTCAGTCAAGTAAACCTTACTAAACACAGTAAAATTATATTATGGCGATATTCTGATAGTTTTAATTAAATCCAACTTAAAAGCAATAAAAAAGTGGAAAGAAGAGTTGTAGATTAAAAAAAAGAATATTTTGAATTTATTTTTATTTGCATATTTATGCATAAAGTATTTAATAAAATTATATTTCAAAAGTATTGCAGAAAACTAATGTTTAAATACAGAGAAATTATGGAACAAATATGAACTTAGTTTAGCTGAATCGAAACAAATATCTGAAAAAAATGTGATATTACTTCAGAATTTCAAACCAAGTAACAAAATAAACTAAAAATGTCATTTTGTTGAGTTTTGGATACATCATAAATTTCAATTAGGTGAATATTTTCGAGTGGATGCATTTTAGACATTATTTTAGCGCAAATAAATTGATTTATTTGGCATGATAAATGTGAGAATTCGGTTCGATTTTTTGGAACCTCGTTATAGAATCAATGCTAAGGAAATTGAATACAAAAATGTGACAATTTAGCAGATATTTATACTGAAATACTGTCGCCAGAATTTACAATTTATGAATGCACAGCAATTCTATAAAAATGAACTTTATTTCCCAATGTCTTGGTCATTTCTTAAATAATGTTTAAAAAGTACTGTTCCTGGAAAGAGACCTCTGTGAAATGTTAATTTTCTTACTTGTTTTACCGAATCCTCTACTGTTGCTATAGTGGAATGATTATCTTTAAAGCTAGAACTAGAAGAAAGGGAACTGAAGAAACTTACTTAAATTGCCTTTTGCCATCGAGCTTGAATAAGTAAATAATTAGACCTGGAAATTCTTTTGTCTCGATGAAAGTACGCAAATGACTGCTCTGCTTATATGTTTCTTAAACCCATTTATTATATTACAAATGTAACTTGATTACTACTTTTTAGTTAGAAATGTTTATTGCAGGGTAAACCCTGCAATGAAGGAGCCGGCGTACAGAGTACGCCAATGCCATCTTTTGGTCTGTAATTTTTAGACAAACCTTTCCTGAGCTTCATCCCTTCCTCTACAACCCTAGAAACATTTCATGAGTGCAATGCATCTGGTATTTCTGGTCAGTCTGGTTTTTGCCTTCCTTTCGAAAGCAGTTATTGTGAACGTGTCACGTAGGCGAATGCAGTACGCCGCACCTCCAAGTACGTACAGAAAGAAAATTGTACCTCCTGAAGATTATTTGCACGTTTTAGAAGAAGTCTTGGCTGATGAAGACTCCTACAATTTGGATAACGCATCTGACGTCGATGAATCGGAAGTCATCAAACATTCTGATCATGAAAGTGACTCAGAAATTGAGGGAAATGTTTCTAAACATCCTCATTTTCCTTCCTCAAGTAATGTTTCCCCAACAAATGTGATGATTTTAGTGATGTTGAAAATGACATGAGAGATTTAAAATATGACAACGTTTTTGTAAAAAACAATTTACAAAAAGAAGAAAGTTGGAGAAAAGTTTCTGAAAGAAGAAAAGGAACTTATAAGTGGAATAAAGTTCCCCTGAAGAGCAAATTCGCCAGAACGCCTTGAAAAAATTTGATGAGTGAAATATGCCCAAGTGCCAAAACTTGTGACGATATCAATGATGAGCTTTTCCAGAAAATCATAAATACAAATATGATTGATGCTATCGTACAATATACAAACATTTATCTCAAATGTAACAGGACTTCAGATGATCTCCAAAACATCTCAAAGAAAAGCATGTATGATAATAATACAGCAGAAATGTTGGCCTTTTTAGGAAATTTATTTTTTTTTAGGGTGCAAAAAAATGTCAAAACTCAATTTGGAGGAAGCATGGCCAAAAGACGGTACTGGATTTGAAATTTTGCAAGGAGTCATGGGTCTCCAGCGATTCAGAAAACTGTGTGCTGCCATTAGATTCGACGATAAAGGCTCAATGTGCGAAGAAAAACTGATAAGCTTGCTGCACTAAGAGAATTTTTTGAATCTTTCAATTAGAACTGTCAAAACGTTTATACACCAGGTGACGAACTCACAATCGACGAGAAGTTGGAACCCTTCGCGGGAGATGCTCTTTTATTCAAATCGCCCGCAAAGTGCAAGCACGGTCTGAAAATTTTTGCAGTTGTTTATTCATGAACGTTTTATACATTGAAGCTTGAAATTTATTGGGGCAATCAACCCCCAAAACCTTACGAGGCTTCCAATTCAAGTATTGACATTGTCAAAAGGCCAATTGGTGTGTACGAAGGTTCCAACCGTAACCTGACGACCGATAATTGGTATACAAGTTACCTGCTAGCTCAATATCTTCTTACCAAAGGTATAATTGAAACTTGTGGGCAGGCTGAAAAAAAAAATAAAAAGGAAACCCCCAGGACCTTTCGAGGCTTCCAATTCAAGTATTGACATTGTCAAAAAACCAATTGGTGTGTACGAAGGTTCCAACCGTAACCTGACGACCGATAATTGGTATACAAGTTACCCGCTAGCTCAATATCTTCTTACCAAAGGTATAACACTTGTGGGCATGCTTAAAAAAAAATAAAAAGGAAATTTCAAATGAATTCCAGCCATTAAAAACGAGAAGTCGGCAGTTCACTGTTTGGTTTTCAAAAGGACAAAACGCAACGAAAAAAGTGTGTAATACTGCTCAGTACTTAAACGATGATGACAAAATTGACCAGGAAACGAATAAACCTCACTTAATCCGAGATTATAACAAATGTAAAGCCAGAGTTGACACCGTAGACAAACTTTGCAGTAATTTCACTGTTGCCCGAAAAACCAAGAGGTGGACAATGGCAATACTTTTTGCACTGCTAAACGTAGCGGGTATAAATTCACAAGTGCTCTCGAACTTCACCAAACCTGATGCAACCATTAAGTTTAGAAGAGATTTTTGAAAAATCTAGCTACATCTTTGATGAAACCACATCTTCAGAATAGTCTGAAAATGCTATTTCTCCTGTCAAAATCCAAAGCATTAGAAGGCTGGTAACTACAGAAGCAGACAAGATGGCCGAAAGGGACGAGGAACCACCTGCAAAAAAGATCAAAGGACGCTGCGCTGAGTGCAGTAAAATGAAGAATACACTACCATAAAATGTTCTGAGTGTTCTAAATTTACCTGCAAAAATCATCTGGGCAAGACAGTACAACTTTGCAAACCCTGCTGCAGTGAACAGGGACAATCTGAAGAGGATTAAAGTAGTAAAAGGTTTTTTATGTTTTTCATTTGTGAAATTTATTACTTACCGAACTTTTCTTTACGGAATATTTATAATTTGTAAATTTGATTTATGACCTTATAATTTTCATACAGAAAATAATACAGAATACTATATAACTTTAAATTACATATCCAGCACATTTCATTTTTTGAATTAATTAACAATTCGTTAACTTCCACCTTTACTGCTTTTTTCTGTTATTCTTTTTCTTATATCATTTTTTACTATGACGAATCACTTTATTAATGCCATGTACAAAATTATAAATAGTTTCAAACACGAAGCAGAGGCTCGAAAAACGACCTGGCGTACTTCATACGCCGCCCCTCTAAAGTTGTACTATATGCCAGCTCCTCCAGCTGAGGGTTAAGAATGCTTGTCATTTTGTTGCTAATAAATTGTGTTATTAAATTAATTGGAATTCAATAAAAACTTGATTTTAAAAAATGAATTTTCAAATCCTAATTGCCTCTCTGACATTTAGTATAGAAGTACGTGTATGTAATATACGTATATGTTACGGCCAAAGCCGGCGATTAAATCGCGAAACAGACAATATCGCCTCACAATGACCGATCTTTTCTTGATTTTGGGGTTTGGCCAGCCAGTTCGCGAAATGGCATGGGGCAATCGGCCAAAGTCAGAAGAAAAAGGCAATGAGCAAATTTTGGGTGTTTGTATACCGTAATGCTAATGATAATCACATTATAGCTGCCATAGAGGAGTTTTCCGACGATCCCGCCCCTCTTAGGAGCCTAGGATTGTACTTCGGAACAAAGGCCAAGAAGGTACAGTGGCCCTAGGTGGCCTGTAGTCTGAAGGGAAGTTTTAGTGAGTTAGGATCTCACAGTACCAGAAACCTCCTGGTCTCTTATGAAAATTTCCTCTCCCTTGGAGAAAACAAACAAAAAGATAATCACATTATCTACTGAATTAGTTTATTACAGAAAATTATCGGCATCATCACTTTTTACAACAAGATTAACTTTTATGAAATTTCGAATTGCACAGCAGTTTGTTATTTTTACATCTGCAGCGATTTGTTGAGCACTTGGTAGTGCAACTGCATCGAGTGCAGCCTTGGCCGCAGGTCGGAGATTGTGAAGAGGCAACGGTTTGTAATAATTTTTCCACTGTGCCCACGGATGCCAATAGTTTCTCTTGCAAAATGGAAAACTCACTTCTGGAATACAGTTGTTTGAGAACACCATGTTCTGTTCCTAGCTTGTAGAAAGCGCCCTCGATGTTCATTACAAATGCCAGGACGCTTCGTGGATCACCGCGACCTCTGTCAACATCTGGTATGTGGATATGTACATTATCTCCAACTTTCGCTGGTGGAAATTTTTCATCTGAATTTTTTAGCACTTTGACATTTCGAGTTTGTGAGCTAGCATGGGCAGCTGACCTCTTATTTGCAATTTTTTGTTTATTATGACACAGTCTACAGGTAATTTTTACTCTTTTGTCTGCTTCATTACTTATTCTACAAATTGCATGCACAACCTTTTCGCAGGATCCACAAGAATGGGCTCAACAGCACTCTTGTTGACATATTACACAGAATTTGTTCACATTTTTATTGTCAGACAACTGATCTGGACTTTCTGATGTCTCCATCGGCACTGCAGCTGGTTTGTTTGTGGAGAGAGTCGCTGCATTTACAGCATCATCCATTTCTTGTTCGACGTTCGAGATCTTTGCCTGTAACTAAGTTATCGATCTCAGACTATTGGCCCAATGTGTAGATTTATTTGTCTTGCCGAACAGTCTTGCTGCAGCACATCAAACATTGGCCAGGAAGTTCCGGGCACTTCCGGAAGTGGCTGGCCAAAGTTGCATATATGCTATTCATTTCCAGTACATTGGCCACACGCCCCGGCCAAACTTTGGGCTTTGGCCGTAACATATACACACTTAAGTTCTGCCTTTAAAGAACCCAAAATTTATAGCTATGCCACTACACCTATATCATTTCAAAAGGTATGAATTAAATGTAAGGTCTAAGGTCAAGTTTTTCCCACCATGCAATGATTTACAATGGATATCAGTGTAATGCATTTCATCCATAAATATCACACTACTGTATATTTTTGTGTATGCATTTTACTACCTTTTCTTACTACTTTTTCTGTCTTTATTCACTCATGCACACAAATATAAAAAAAAAAATTCCTGTGGTCGAGATGTCACCCAAATAAAAAATGTTAAATGTTATTTGATTCAGTATAACTCAAAATTCAAGTACGATAAAAGACCAGTTAAAAAATAAAAGGTTTAATGTTAACCAAAACAGATTAATTTACACTCAAAATAGAAGTACTGTTTTCAATAAATGTATGTCTCAGTAACATAAAATCCATAGACATGATCATGCCTCAAAATCAGATGAAAATCCAAACTAAAGCAACATTTACCACCCATTCATCTAGCCAAGTGTTGCAACTGTAGAAAACAAAGCCTTTATCTCCCAAGCCTCCTCCTGCATAGCAGATTTTCAGAGTTCCCATTTGACAATGTATGACAATGCATCTTTCAAAATTCGATCTGTTATTGACAAAATAGGCAGTTTAAAAGCTAAAAATGTACTTTATTTAAATCTGTATTCTACTTTTTTTCAATAATGTATCTAATATAAATTCAAACATAATTTATAATATATTCAACTGATGGATTTTATGAATATTTACAGGTTTGTTGTCACTAATAAAAGATATTCTAAACACCATATATGTATTACATAACTGGTACAATTTTTAAAAACTTTTTGGAGGTATCGCACTGTAATGTCAAGTTCTGAGATCGCAGTTTTTTTCAACAAATACTTTGTTTTTAATTCATATTTTAATACACAGATAGCTTTTAATTGCTTGCTGAATATCTTGACATATACAGGGTAATCTTTTTTAAAGTGGCAGTGTTTGGAGCGCCCTGTAGCGCAATCTAATAGCCGAAATGGCACCAAACTTGGTATTTAGACTAATCAAGACATGGGAAAATGGATTCCGTGAAAAAAAAAAAAAAATTTAGTTCCAAAAATTGCCGCTAGGGCATTTTGTGGCGCCGCTGTAGCTTACAATAACGAGTATTAGCATAAAACACCAGTATCGAAGAAAAATGCAAATGTTGTGCGACACCAGCGCCAGTGATAGGGGCTATAAAAGCAAGTAGTAGACAGCTCCAACAAATAATCTCAGCTGAAGTAAACGAGCTCCAGTGGACATACCTCTCACGTTACCAGAACGTGCGTTACTGGTGAAGCTGTATTACATGAATCAATGTAATGCATCCGCAGCTCTTCAGGAATTTTGAACCAGAAAAAAATTACGAAAGGGGCCTTTCTTGTTGAATGGTCGTAAGAAAATGATGAAGTTCGAGGAAACGGGGTCACTGACCATTTGCGCTGGGAGAAGATGTCAACCAGTATCAGAAGATGTAATAACTGACGAGGCAACTGCAATTGTCGAAGGATCGCAGGGAACCATTGCTGTACTAGCAGCGCCCGGGGTGTAGCTCGACAATTGGACATGAATTATTCCACAGTAGGGAGAGTTTTGCGACGCATTATTGGATTATACCCCTACAAAATCAGCCGCTTGCACGAACTGAAACCAAGTGATTACGATAAGCAAGTGACATTCGGTCTATCGTTTCTTGCCAGGATAAAAATTGATGATGCTTTCCTATGGCACATTCTGTGGGGAGATGAGTGCCATTTTTATCTCAATGGGTCCGTAAACACACAAAATAGCCGAATTTGACCATGCACGAAATCCCATTAAATTCCCCAAAAGTCACTGTTTGGTGTGGTTTCAAAGCCGAATTCGTAATTGGGCCATTCTTTTTAGAGACCATCACTCCGACAGAACCCCAAACGTGCACCATAAATGCGGAAAGGTACCACGAAAATGCTACAAATATTTGTTATTCTACAACTTCAGCAAAGAAACCGTCTCCAACAGACAATCTTTTTGCAAGATGGTGTTCCG